ATAAACCTTGAAGCACATGTTAGCGACCGGATATCCAGGATAAAGGTATCCTATGATATATTCTGTGATGACATTCAACCCTGGTGTCTACAATGTTCAAAAATATAAGTAATTTAGTGACTTTTCTGTTACAGACAAAAGAAACATGACTTTACTAGGTAATTTCATATAGTTGATTGATCTTTTGAGTAATGGACGCGTGTCCAACTCCAAGCAAAGATGTTACCTGGTTGGTAATGGCGGTGATGATTCCTATAGGAAGGGTAAAGAAAAAGGCAATGACACAAGCTAAAATAACTCCCCACCAAGGTAACTGAAGTTGTTCATTGTAATATTCACAAGCAAAGATAGTGAGTGTAATGTTCGCTACAAGAATGCACCAAAACCACCACTCAGGTACTTGGTTATACTTGCTCATTAGTCTAGTGTGTATGTCCATTTTCTGATCTTTGAAGCTTGATTTGCTCTGCTCCCATATCTCCCTGCAATCGATAAAACTCGTTATAACACATGTATAGCATGCCAAATTAGTACTACAATCACGCCTCAGTCCCAAGCAAGTTGATATCCTCTATTTAAGCTCGCCCCAAACCCAATGTTTCTTACCTTCCGTGAAATAAGAGAACATGCATGACAGTAGCACTGAGAGCAGCAAAGCCAACTCCATAAGTAACCGCGAAAAATGTACTAAGATAAAGATGTCCTTGTTGCTCGTAGGCATCAATATCAAGATGGAAATTAGAGTCAATGATACTTGATATGTTGTAAACTTGGCCATTGGAAGTGTACATTCCATCAGAGAAAATTGGGAATGTTTTGGCTTTGAAGATATCTAACCAGTAACATATTGGAGTCAAAACATACATAACAAAGATGAATCCAGCAGCAACATTAGCTGTAGCAAACCATGGGCTAGCTAATGGGCTTCCAAGGTAGGACGAAATAGAAGACCAATCAAGGCCTATAGCTCCAATTCCAAGCCCCTTTAGGCCCGAACCGAGTTGTTGGGCAAACACTGATTTTGGAAAGATCCAACATACCCATGACAAAGATGTCAACATTGAAAAGAGATATCCAGGGAAAATGTAGTATGCAAAACTGCAGATAAAGGCTACTATAAAGAACTGAGTACGCGTTAACCCTCCTTTCGAACGTTCTTCTTTCTCGTGTAAAGCCCTGCAAATGAAGCTCTATGTTAAACTAAAAATAGCTGACCAATGTATAATCTATATATAATAAGTATATAATATGTGAATACTGGTTTACACAAGTAAATAGTGAATCTGGTAGGCTATTCGTGTAAAGATCCCACAAACATATTCATGTGAAAAAGAGTAGTCCCTTGTGGGACATCGCGGTCATGATCTTAAAGTTATAATTTGATCATAGTGTTACGAGTTTGAATCTTACAACTATTTCGTTCGCAACATTCATTGACATGTCATTAACGCTAATTAAAGGGTAAATCACATAAATATGCTATATTAAAGAA